TTTCGACGATCGAGACTCAACGAACAGGAAAGTCTCGTGGATCGTGGTGACGATTGAACACGCTCGACGCACGAGAAACACTTTTCCCTCCTTTTACGCGGCTTTCTTTACGCGGCCAAGCATTCGCATCGTTGATTGCACCTCGACGCTTCGCCAGTTTTATTGGATCCTCTGCTATCTGCTCCGAACTAACACACGAGCGCTTTTTCGCCCGCTATTGGATCACTTTCAACGAAAATCGTTTTTCCTCGATACAGGGAGGGCCGAGATACAGCCCTCGGGGAAATAGTTTCCATGTAATTTCAACTTTTTCCCCCTGCCGCGCCCTGCGAAACTATTTCGATTCTCTTTCCTTCTCTACGGTCTCTCCCTCTTTCTCTTTAACACACGCGCGCGCAATGTCCGGCCGATTAACCGCAGAATATTTGATTCGTTTCAACGGGAATCAATGGTAATTATATAGTGCATGATGGTCATTAATTGCGCACCGATACTTGGATCCGAGCCAACGTACCCTGATCGTGTTACAGGACGCGGAGGGTTACTTCAACCGTTACGTTAACTGCTAAATCCTCCTCTTTGTTGCATAACATTGTCGCGTCTAGCCATACACGATATATTATACAAGAGAATATTTACGATGCGCGTAACAATTTTTACTCGATTCAACATCAGTTACCTAATTGGTCCTCGCGAAGTTCCGAACAATTTCAGCCACAATATGTTTTTAATACGGAAGAAAAAAATCGTGGAAAGTGAAAATATCTACAACTTTGTACATAATAGAGAGGAATTGTGGCGGAAAAAGGAATGTTCGTTTGAAAAGGGCAAACTATCAAGCTTTCCAGACCGCAGACTTCTTTTTAAGTAACAATTGAGCCCGATCGGAACGTGCTCGAGGAAATATCCGTTTTCATATTTCATCGACTAGACGGCACGTTTGCCCTCGTTGGCCTTTAATACGTATTTCCAGGATTCGATTAAATCCACCGATTCTCGATTAACCGCGAATATTGTTACTGTTATTGTCTTGTTTCGGCGATACGAGTCTTGTCTATTGCTTTTATCTCTACGGAGGAAAATTGTATTTAACAAGACCAGAAATTAAATTTGTTGCTTTTCACTTAGCTTAGCGAATATCTCTATCGAATAGTTATGAAAATTCTTTACATTAAAATAGAAAGAAATAACGCGTGTCTGTCTCGGTGCTAAAGCAGGTATTTTCTGTGCAACGTCAAGATTGTATTATCGGATATTTCGTAATTACAAAGTTTCAAGTATCGAATTGAAATTTACGAAGGTGTTAATGTCAAATACAGGTCGCGAAACAGGTTATCGATTCGTTTCCCTTTCGAGTCGGTCGTTTCTTAATTAAATTTCACCCAATGATCCGTCGACGTTTCTCCATCCGGCGAGCAACCCCTCGGTCCCGACACTCTTTATCGATTTCTCGCGAAAATTTCCCCCGGAAAACTTTCCGTCTCCCTGAAAGAGCCTTTTTCGAATAAACTTCGAATACAGAGGGGAAAGTTTCTTTTCGCGGAGACCGCTTTCTTCTAATAAGTGCTACATCGACTGGTCGCTTAATTTGCGTGTACACTAGTCCGAGAAGTTGGACTACTCGAGACGATTTGCCACAAAACAGACAACGTTTAACGGAGGAAGGTGCAAATACGGTGTAACGTAATTGGAGGTATAGATTCGTAAGATCAAGACGTCGCTGTGGGTGTACGTATAGCGGGAAAGTTGTCGCGGAGGAAACTAGGGAGCTCAGAAGTCAAGTTTACCGGAGCAACTTGACTTCGATTTAATTGATACACCCTCAAAAGCTAAGGGAACCTTACCGCCGGTCGAGGGTCGATGAAGAACTGTCGCAGAGCGGTCTGGGAAATTCAAGCTGGCTGAGAATGGGCGTTGACCTCGAAGTTGTAAACGAGAACGGTTAATCAAACGGAGCAGTTCCCTTTCTCTCCTCGGAAAACTATCATCGAACCTTCCTTGTCCGAAACTTCGTTATATATAAATTGTCAGAAGTTTCAAGATACGGTCGACAAGCAAAATAGTCATTTACCAGCTATTCGTACGTTATTAACCGACAAACAATCGATCGTGTACGAACTTCGATAGAGTCTGAAATTTCTATGGATCGATTAAATTAACAGGCGTTATGAAGGTAAAACGGTGTAAGAACGTAAGAAACGGTCCAAGATCGTTTCGCTGAATAACAGAATCCGGATAACGTTCGATAATTCGCTTCGTCCCCGCGGAACGTCACAAAAGCAATCGACAAACTTTCGTCTCTAACAGCGAGACAAAGCCGTGACCAAGTTATTAAACAGCGAATTGCCTTCGACAGAGAGGCTTGAAATTCGATAAAGTGGTCAAAGGTAGCGTCGTTGAAAGGAATACGGTCACCGGGTCTCGCGGACGTCAAACGAACGACGTTATCAAAATTCAACTGATATAAACGATGCCGTATTATAACGCTTCCTCGATATCCTGAAATCACGGGGACGTATCCTTTGGATCGAGTCTCGACGACGATGGATCCGTTGAATTTCGTATCACAAACGGGCCACTTCCCTTTTCAAAGTCCCCCGGCAATGTCGGTGAATTATTAATCAGATTCGAATATCCCATACAAATTACTTTTCCATCCGTCCCCTCGTCCTTCTAGATGGCAAAATCGAGGAGAGGACGCATTTGCATGCTGTCGGGGCTGCACAAAGCCTCGATACTTTGAGCCTTTCGAAACGCCGCGCCGCCGGGACAATCGATTCCCTCCTCTCTTTCTCTCACCCCCGCCCCTCTTTTATGCCCTTCGGTTCGGAGTAATTGAAACGACGTAATGTATGTCGAGAGTTTCGACTTCGAGAAGGTTCTTTATGATTTTCCATTGAACGCGTGCCGCGTCGAAACCACTTCAATGCGTAATTGAAATAAACTCGTCGAGATTCAGACGCGACTCTCGCTGTCAGGTTTTACGGGACAACGCTCGACGAGAGCACAATGAAACGTAGTACGCGCTATCCTGGACTCGCGTAAACGCGTTACGAAATGATTAGCTAACACTGTACTCCGAAGGACGACCGAGGAATCGAACGGTTTACGATTTCGCGCGTAACTAAATGAAAAACGATCGCGCCGCTAAACGATAATCTTCGATCGAGGCTCGCCTTTGCGTATCAAAGTGGCTTCGCAAGATCAGAGATACTCGACTAGCAATCCAATTACAACGGCAGGCAACATCGATAAACAGGAATAGCAAAGGGGGACGCGCGCGTGTCTCAAGTTGAATTCAATTTCTTCGCACCGTTGAGCTCAACTACCGATTACCTTCGTGGAACGCGGCGGAACAGTTGCAAAGCTAATTACATCGTTAGGAAAGAATAATCAAAGCGAACTAGCAGTCCGAGCAACGCTCGAGCATAATTTCGCCGAATAACCGTGAAAATTCACTCGATGGTACGTGCCACGAAGTTCAAGGCGTTAAACTCGCCCCGAACTTGACTCGTTAACCGAAACAACTTAGCCGACCGCTTAACCGTGGCCCATGGCTAGACCCAATAATTGTCTCTGCTAATGGAAACGACTAAAATCGTAGCGCCCAGAAGCTCGGTCAGAAAGCACGGTCGACATCAATTTCGCGTCGTGTCCGGTGAACCGCAACGAAGAATCCTGGTTGGACGATAACCAGTGTGACGAAGTCGAGGCCGGAGAAACACGAGCCATCTAGTCGTCGAACGAACGACATTGCGGCCCTGCTTCGTCGTAAAAGTGTCGTCCGTATGGTGAAGTAGATTCTATTTCTCAGAGTTAGCTGGCTTGGGTTACGTGCAACGTATGTGCCGCCTCTTCTCGTCCTTTTCCTCCTCCTCTTCCTGGCTGGATTTTCAAAATGGCCTCAACGGACGTCGCTGAAAACGTCACGTAGCCTCGTGGAATATTCCGCGGGTAGTTTACGAGATACCGTGCTCTGCACTTTCCACTAAAATCCTATGAAGTATGGCCGGACCAAGGTGACGGACGAGCCGGTGCACCGTGACCCCACCGATACACGGTGCCCGAGAAAGAATGGGGCAAAGGGGGATCAACCCTGCCCAGATTAACGGTCGCTGAAATATTATGGCCGCGAACTCCCGACCGTCGCGACGGTCTTCGCTAGAATAATCATTCGCGGGATTCGCTTCCGTGAATACGGAAGTAGTCCTCCAAGAATAACTTCCTAGCTCCTCCCAGCATCAATCTGGTTATTATTTCGTTATATAGTTGTTTCGTGTAACTAATTAATTAATAAAAGCGATCGCTTCAGAGAATCGATATGTTTTTAGACGAAAAAGCAGAGTCGACACGTATCGACGGTTCGAATTTCGCGTATCGGATTCTAACAATTAAATTCGAAACCGTAACGAATTACTTGTTGGACGAGTTGAATTTTACGCTAATGGAATGGACATTTAACCCGCGTTTACGGTCACGTTTATTGCCCTACCTATGATACAAACGACGAAAGCTTAAAACGAAACCGAACGTCGAGCTTTCGCAATATCCTAGACGGAAGCGGACTTATCGAACAGCTGTTTAAGGTGGCCCTTTCCGGTTGTAAAAATAAAATCTCTCGAACGGACAAATTGCTTCCGCAGGTCGGCTTGCAGCCGTTCGTGCAAGACGTCGCAGGGCAAATTGCTTCTCGGTCACGGCCGTATATTTTATCACTTTTTATCAGCGAAGCGACGTCTTGCACCGGTGGAACACCGCTACTTACGTTTACCATTTTTGTTGTTTCATTTTCCTTTTTTCCTCCTAAAACTTCGAATCCGAGTTATATACATTTCCCGGGGAAGCTTCTACTTTTATCGCGACGGTAAAACTGCATTTTAAAACCGTATACAGGCTTAACAAGCGAAACTTTCGCGCTTCGAGCTCAAGATTAAAGTACGATATCTCTATCTTGATAGTTATTGTAGGATACGTCGAGAAAATTAATCGAATCAACTTACTTGTTGTAAAGAACAATGTCCGGCAACCATATATGTTCCGACGGCACGTGAAGGGTGTCGACACCGCCATAATCATCCGGGTTCCACTTCAGCTTGTAATCGTTCCACTCCTGCAAGCAGAAACGGCACAAAAATAAGTCTTGTTTATTTTCGTATCGTGGTAAAGGGGATGCAGCAAGAAAAATAAAATAAAAAAAGCAACAATGTTGTCTTCTACACGCTTTTAAAGTTAGACAGAATAGGAACTATGTCGCCTCGTTAACTCCAGGTATCTTCGACGGTTAAAGCGATACGTAGAAGAAGGAATTCGTTACAGAACTGTCAATTTTCATTTCGAGTTCGTCACTGGTTCCAAGTACCATTAACTTGGACCCTGTACACGGATGTCAATCGATGTCTTAGACGGGGTCGAAACTCGTCAATAGCTATCTAGCAGAGGAAGCCGAACTCCCGACAAATCCCGATTAAGTTAGCTTCTACGTCCCGCAAACTAATAATTCCTTTTGAACGCAGGAAACTTGCTACTCTGGAAAATAGCGATGTCGCATGGAGTAAGTAGCGTAAACTCGATTCGATTCGATGTCGGTAATAGTTGGAACAAAGTCGCTATATCGTACAAATGCCGTGTTCGATGCGTGGCGATATAACGAAAAATGTTATCGTAGTTGAATCAATTACAAAGTCCGCAATTTTGGAATGTCTGTTTCGCGATGTTTAAACGAGACACTACCATTATCGTTTCGCGCGTTTAATCCGCGTTAAAGCTGACCAAAAATCACGGCTACGAGAAAGAGTTCGTCAGAGTGGGTCGTATGAAACGCTCAAAAGCACAGTCATCTGTCCGCTCATAAAAATAAACTGCGGTGATAAGCCGATGCTCGCAGCAAACTTTCGCAAACTTCCACGCGCCGTTAAACGAATGCCAACCCTCTCTGTTCGCTTTCCACCGCGTTCGCCATTGGTGTCATCGTTTCCACCCCATGCATCGTTGAGCGTACAGCCCCCTTCTCTCTCTCTCGCTCTTGTCACTCCTCTTCACCGCTCTTACCCCCATCGAGAGATCCACGCAGACCGGATAATTGGCTGTTGGAAGTTCAGCAACCGGCAGGATGCGGCTAGAAAAAAGCGTAGACTCGCGACCAGCCATGGGATTCACTTTTCAACGAAACGGTTCGCGAGTTCAAACGAGCTGAACCGATTAAACAGGGAGGAAAAGTAATTACGCCGTTCTTAGCCGAGCTTTTTCTCCCTTCCGATTCTTATTTCGAGCCGAGTCTTGATAGCGGATCGCGAGATAACGTCCACCGGTTGTCGGACGGTTCTCCTTCGTTTCGCTCGCATCGCGTTTCTCGATACGATCGACCCATGCTTTTTACACTAATTTTTATGTAGACCGGTAACTTTTACAAAGATGCTACCTTTTCGACGAAGGGACAAATTGACGAGAAAGCGATAGATACGAATCGAGAGCGTATTATAAGAAAACTAGTAGATCAAGGAGAACGTAGTCAGACGAACGGTGATCAGACGCAGAGTCCATTATATGTAGAACATTTAGAACGGATTGAACGACGCGTAGTCGGTTGGATAACGAGCGTGTTATGGGGCAGTTGGAGCGGACTGAGCGACGCGTATTCGAGCAGATGCCAAACGAACCATCGAATGGACTGAAAGCGGATTGGAAGCGTCTCCTGAACCGTGAGCAAATGGACGAAAAGCGAATAACCAAGCGTTCTAACTCGCGTTTCGTACAACATAAGGATCCATGGGAAACCGAACGCTGACGAAGCTTTTAATTTTAATTAACGTAGCTAGAATAAGATGTTAAATTTCGCCCGAGAAAATTGAATAATTGCGATCGCATACAATAAATATCGATAGTTAGGGTGATTTCTCGCGATGAGACAGCGCTGTCGGAAATCGTAGTTTTACGACGTTGGTTGTATCGAACCTTGTTGTTCCGAGACCGGGTAAATCTGAATGCGAACGTAATTTATCGTCGCGTCGAGGGGCAGTAAAGTTTTACGGGCCACCAAGTGGCTCGTTCGCGTTCGACAGTCTTGAGAAACAAACGATCGCCGCGTAGACTTCTCCTTAATCCTTCTGTCCCGATGAAAAATCGATCGATTCGGGCGTAGAAGCGTGTCCCGATAGCGTAGAAAGATTACGGATCGAAGCGATCGGAGATTACGGAACGAACGCGGACGAGGAATCGCGAATATATTCGAGTCCGCGGAGATTAATCGTACTATTCGCGATCAATGAATTTACGGATCGTCTATAAATTCGTTTCTGATCTCTATCTGTCGGACAGAGAGATTTACGTTTATGCGATTAACGGAAGAAGAATTAAACGAACTGTTCATTCGGGGGATCTTGATATCGTTGAAGGATTTCATTTGTCGGTTTACGAATCGGAAAGATCGATTTGAACGACGGCTTTTCATAGGACGACCATTAAATGGCAATTTCGAAAGTCAAACGGAAGGAACAAAGAAGAAGGTTCAGGGCATTGAAACGTTTCTATCGTCGGTGCAGTAGTTTCAAAGGTTCGCAACAGGATAAAACATCGAGTCCAACAAGTTCCTACCCACGTAATTCCAGTAAAAGCCGTTTCTTCTGCATTTACAATTATTAAACAACCGCTTCGCGTGCCGAAAGCAACACAAAACCATCGTAGTCGCGTGGTTCTCGTTCGAGAACAATTCTTTATATTAAATTCGCAGCCCGTTTCGCCGAGCTGAATATAAAAAGAGCAAAAAAAGAATGAACCGGAAGCACGGGAACAAAGAACGGTTTCGCGGCGAATTAAAAAATTTCTCTGCTACATGTTACAACAAATTCTGAAGCGCACGTACAATCGCGTCTCCTGCGAACACCGTGAAAAATTCTTTTACTTGGTATTTTCGAGCTAGCGTATTAAATACTTTGATAACCCCGAAAGTTCTGAAAATCGTAACCAAAATACACGGCCGCAATTAATAGCGGAACAGCTCCGAATTCTCGAGTGCAGTTTACCGTTCTGCTCCACTTGCAGCCAAAACTTTCAACAGATGCAATAATTATGGTACGTGACGGTTTCTCGACACTTTCCGCGTTATCCAGCCACGGCTATCGAAAACAGGCATTTTCCATTAACCGCACGCCTCACTTGAGTCATCGCTCCGAGATTATAAACGCCATTCGATACCTGGATCGATGTTTATTGCGGACACGTACATTTTATCGTCAAAGTTCTAACGTTGTTAGCCGCGCTTAGCGTAACTCATAGGGCGAGAAGAGGAACGAGATATTAGCGAGCGGAGGACACCTTTTCAGGATTGCGGCGATTTCTCGAAAGAAACAGCGGCAAGGAAGCCGAGAACTTCGTTATCCATCACGTCTGCCAGAGTCAACAAGGCTAAAACGTTTGCCGGTGTCATTCGAGCGGCGTACGCGCGATTGTTTACCTACTCCTCCAGCATCGGGCGAACTTCCGAAAGAAACTGGGAGCCTCCACTTCCTTCGCCGTCCCAACAATGCCAAACAATTCGCCGAGACTGATAAAGGACAGCCACTTCGCTTGGCAGACGATCCTGGCCGAAGACACGATTCTCCGCCGTTCTTGTCCCTTTTTTTCTTTCGTGTTACATCGCGTCCTGTTTCCGCTTTCGGGACCGAGGATTGCACGGAAAAAGAGGCGCGAGATCTATTGACACGGACAAACGATCACGGCCGAGCCAAGGAAGAACAACCGGCAAGAACCAACAGACGCCGGTGTCTCGATTCCGTTGGGTGTTAAACAAAATTGCGAATCCGATTTCTGCCACCGAGACTGTCGTTAACTTTTTAAGCAAAGCGATCAGAGTAACAGATTTCCCGTTTTTCAAAGTTTCTCATTTCGATTAACATTCGAACAGATTACCGACCTACCGCTTCGTTAGCGTTGGTCGAAAGCAAAGTTCAATTACGAGCGTTGATCGAACCCAAATCGAGGATTGGTTTCTTGTTCTGGTCGGAATCGAAATTGAAATTGAAACTGGTTTATAGAAGGGAGGACAAGGTGGAGAACAGTTTGGAAATCGGAAATCTGATTGCTGGATGATGGATCAAAAAATCCACTTCGAAACGTCAACTATGCTTGTCCCTACACAAGATTGAAATCGATATCAACCGACTCTCGTCCCGTGCAAACCTGCTATCAATTCCCGAATCGATTTCCTCGAGATTTTTCTAATATTTCAATTTAAGAGCATCGTTAACCGCTCCATGCTTTTCTTATGGTCGATTATAAATCGTTTGCTATACGTTATCGCAAAAAACACTCGCAACCGCATATCGATAAGCTTCGAAGCGATAAATCAGCAACGTTGCGATAATACGTGTACGTATATTTTCGATATGCGCGGAACAAAATAATACGCTACACTGTATTTCTAGATTATACTGGCAAATACAATAATAACTCGGAAACAACTAGAGCGAGTTAAGCCGGTGCGTATCGCGAAATAAAAGACCGTAACGCGGTTGCGAAGACTCGAACAGGATAAAAGAGAACGAGAAGCTCCGAAGATAAAGAGTTTTGAAGGGTCGAAGTTCGCGAAGGGTTTCCAAGGAACGTCGCTAAGGATCGACTAGCGATTCGGATTTCGCTGTCAACAGTCACGGGATGAAATTTGTCCGCTTTGAAATTCCAAACCTTCGCGATCTCGCAGAAAGAGGAGATTCGACCGCGCCGGTTAAACTGACGCTGCTACCAACTGAATTTCTCCCTTTTCCTCTACCCTCTCTGTCGTTGCTTTGTCGAGCTATCATTATTCGAGAAAGGAAATCGCGTTTCGCTCTTTCTCAAACGCTCCTCGTTCGTTCGCCAAGAGGCATAAGGTCTTCTCCTACCTTCCCTTCCCATCAACCTTTCTTTCTTTCCCGTGGGAATCGTTTCACGAACCGAGAACCTCACGGTTCGTTAACCTAGAACACGAGACGCGATAACAAGGAAAATGGAAACGTGATCACATATTTAATTTGAACGCGCGAAGCTGTTAAACCACGCTATTTCCTGTCTCTTTTCATTCTTTAAACCTTACTGGTTCTACAGGGTAACTACTTTATGGTATCGACAATATTTTTCAATTATAAGTCCAGCAAAGAAAATATTTTGCATGCACGAAGAAAGGTATGGTACTTACTTGTTCCACCCATACGTTCGTCGTCATGATCTGGTTCTTCAGGTTCTGAAACAGAAAGAAAAATCGACTTGAAGTTCGGAAGGCACTTCGCTGTTTCGAGTATTTTCTTGGAAGGTGGATTTATTGGGTTCTGAAGGAACTCGAGATGGACAGTTTCGACAAACCCGACAAGTACAATGCAGAGTCTTCTATCAAATATTAAACATTAAAATATAAATCGCAGTAATTATGTATTTTAAGACAGCTTCCGTATTTCTATAGACTATAATTAAGTTACAAACGAAATCGTAATCAGAAAAGTTTAAATGAAATAACGAAATGACAAACGTTGATCCTCGAGAAAAGCGGACGGATCGGTAAAACGAATCGAGTCTTAGAGTCTCGGGTTGAAACAACGGCAAGGATCTACGTGGATCTTCGATTTCGATCTTTCCTTCCGAGGAAGCCGAGCGTCATTAAGAACGCAGCGAACAAATCCTTTGATCCAGCAATTAGAGTCCCATTTTCAACGAACGTTTTCTCTTCTTGGGTCAGCGAAGATTTAACGAAGACACGCAACCATTTAGATTTTCTCGAGCGATTCGGTTGTTTCTCCTCTAAAGATTTGCCCCGTCAAAATGAAAAGGAAAAAAAAACAAGGGAATCGTGGTATGGGAAAAGAAATCGGACGAGGAAAGAAGATAAGCCGTCGCGGGACAAAATCTACGAGTGTTTCCAGAAAGAGGCGAGAATTATGGTTCCAACGGGGATACTGTCGCTTGGATTAGAAGAGACTGTTGCCAACATCGCAATTATGCGCGGTGATTCAGATGCTTTTGTCCTCTCTCGGCTCATTGTACGCTACTAAAACTCGCGTACCGCTGAATTCTTCCAAATTTTTCCGCGCGTATTCGCGATTAATTTGTTAAGATTTCTTAACCTACATTTTTAAATTCAAATTCTATTTGCGAGTTAAATAAAATTGCAACGATTAAATAAACGACGAGAATCACCTCCGGTTTTAAAAGTCAGGAAACAGGTTTCCCCAGGAAAACGAGAAGCCGTTAAGGGGCGCCTCGAAACGCCCAGGTTATCCGCAGAGAAAAAAAGTCCGCCACGTAAACGAGTATATTCCAACCCCTCTGTTCATTGGGTGACGATCCTAAACAGAGGCGTCGGGTAAAACGCGTCGCTGTCTGCTTACGTGTAAGCAGTCTAATGTTATGGAAATTGGATGTCGAAAGAAAACAGAGAAGGTTCCGTATCGGCTTGCCTCCGGAGACAAACGAATGGGAAGAATAGCTGAACGTGTTTCCATCCTACCACAGACCCTTTTCCCTCCACGGTTACACCGTATCTTCACGGTGTGTCCCACGTAATTTCAGCTCCGCTTTCCCTTTCCAGATGCCTCTTATATCGCCTTTGGTCCCTTTGGTAGCCACGTTTCCTCCTTCTCCATTGTGCCGCGTTTCTAACTCGCTGCAAGAACCTCTCTCACTTTTACCGGATGTCGTTTCCGCTCGTATCTATTTACGCGGTACATTTCCTATCGAACGAGTATGCGTGCAGGGAATTCCGGCTGGTACGTTTAACGATACCTCGGAGAAATTTTGAAGATACGAACGAAACAACGAGAGCGGAAACGTTTCGATCCGCTGGTAAATTTTCGTCCGATACGATCCTGGCCTCTCGTGCATAATGCAGGTTCCTCGGGAAGACTGCGCGGCGCTTCTGGTCAGCGGAAGGAAATATTCAAAAGGGGCGCGGCTCGTTATCCGTCGATAAAAAGGAAGCCTCGAAATCGGTTGTTCCAACGAAACTCGAAGGAACGAAACGATGCGTGTCGAGAACAGCGTGGCAGACAAATCGATAACGTCGGAGAACGAAGCGGTTCTGTGACGACGACGGAAGAAATATTTTAGTCACCGGTTACTGCTCGAATATTTGAAATATTATTCACGGTATTTTCTGTTTAGCCGCGCGATAAAGTTTAGTCCTGACACGCGCGGAGGAACGCGAGAACGACGAAACGGTGAACAGGAAATTGGACATGGATTTATTTACATGCGAAGGGTATCCTGTCCCTTTGACAAATCGAGCCCTATCGCTCGAGACGCGGAACGTAAGTCCGTCGCTTTCCAGGATCAACGGGTAGAATGCTATGAGAATTCCTTGTAACGTTGCCGAGGCAGCTCGAAAACGGAATCGTGATACGAATCGCGGAGAAGGAAGAACAGAGACGAACGTCTCTAGACAAAGGAAACTCGATGCTTGAGCGACAAGAGAACTTACAGCTCTCCTGGCAATTTGTTGCTCGAGAATTTTATCGACGCCTCTTGCACGCTTAAAATGGAACGCAGAACCTTTATAGCGAGTAACGACATTTTTCCAAAGCGATAATTTTTATTCCAATAATTTCGTATTTTTTGAAAAACTTGGATAAAAGTTATCGCGTACGAAATTATGCGGATCGCGTCAGAATTCTCAGAGTATCGGTGTAATGGGACGAATATTTTCTGACCTGTGGGCGGAGAAATTTCGTGGACCGGACGTAAACGAGTTTCCCGCGTTATTACAGCGGAATAAAAATGCTATCTCGAGGGACAGACCACCAGCAGCGTTCTCAGCCTGTTGTCCGAAAATTACGAGAAGACGAATAAGAATAAAAAGCTCCGCGTACATCGGCTCGATTCCCTCCCACGTCCATAAAACGCTCCGTCCGATCTTATCGAGAAAAATAAGAGAAAAGTGTAACTCTTGGCCAGAGCACGGTACTAAAAAATTAATATGGCCATCCCTACCCCGGCAGATCAATTCGTTAAACGGACGACGTTTACCGCCAACTTTTCCGTCGTTCACGTTCCAGCTAAACCATAAGAAAACTATATTTCCAAAGGACATCGATAAAAGAGCAAACGGTGGATGGTCGCGACACGACAAAGGAAGGAAGTTACGTCGTATATCAGTCGTGGTTTCCCTTATCGAGCGTCTATCTACCGGGGCTAAGCGATTTTTGAACATCTCGTCGAACAAGAACGAAGACCCAGACTGTTGATAAAAAAAAATGGGGAGGCTGGCCAGCTGGTGCGAAGGAGCTTTTTGTTCGGCCTTCCTTTCAGCCTTTGCCACGGCTCGACGGCGCCGCGACGACCGCCATCTCGTTCGCATATTCAGGACTCGACGAAGGCTGTTTCCATCGGCCCGTCAATTTATTCCGGGCAAAAAATCTTTATTCGTTGGAAGAAACGCTTTCCATGCTCGTTTTGCGTAGGAAAGCGTCGGAACTTGAATCGTTCGGCGAAGAAAGGGAAGACGGCGCGCGTAAACAGCTTAAACATCCGAGAATTTATAACTCCGGCAAACAGAAAACGATTATTAGCGAGTTCCGCGTAACCTGTACCGGGCGAGTCATCAGGCTAAACAGCTCGATTTTACGATGCAAGCAGCACGAAATGGCGCACGATTTACGGGACAGCGCTACTTGCAATTTTCCATGTTGGAATGCAGTCGCGATCGGTGAAAATCGAAGCCGTACCGTCCAGCTCGCGATTTATACGCGCGTACTCGTGATTCGTTGCCGGCGAACCGGTAAAGTCGGAAAGAGAATTTCTTAACGTAGTACAACATCGACGGATCCAGTGTTCCCGTTTCAACTACTCGAGGAACCCGGGGAAAAAATGTGTAACGCGTCAGCGAACTTACGTCTCCGGGAGGATGCTTCTATCGCGCTCGCTGAACGCCGGCCACGTACTAGAGATTTTCTTTGCGTAAATATTACGGAAATACGTCATCCGAGAGCAGCAGCCCTTCTGACACTTAATTGCTCATCCCCAATTAACCCCCAAACCTCGCCGCGGCAACCCAGGCCTTTTCTTCTCTCTCGTTTCGTTCGTGCTTGTGTTCTTCTTTATTAAATTCGCGGCAACCGTGACGTGCTCAGACGTTCCACGCTTTTCATTTCGAACCACGGTTCATTCGTAACCCGTTTCGAGGCCAGCGTTGATTTATGACTTTTTTTTTATATATACCCTGATTCATGCACCCCTTTTGTTTATTCAACCCGGTCCACGTTGCGAAGAGCGCTTCCTATTACAACGTGTTCTACTTGTCCGACTATTGACGATGTATACTACCGCTATTCTGCCTGATTCAACGCGTTATTTAAATATGTATATCCACTCGTCGTTATCATTAATATCGCGTAATTTCGATACAAAAGACGAGAAATGAAAAAAAAATGTTCGCGCTGTTCCAGGAACGAGCTAAAGTAATTTATATTAATTGGTCAGCGATTTAATTAAATACCCCTTTTGTTCGTTAAAAGGTAGGGTAGCACAGAGGATGCTTCGCGTTACGCCACGTCCTACTTGTTCGATTATTGACGGCGTGTACTACTGATTCCGTTGTTTAACGCGATATTTATACATTTGTTACGCGTTCTCGTTATTTATATAATTCTACTTGTAAACGAAACGTGCGAAGGTAATCTATATTAATTTGTGTACGGTCGTACTAAATTCCCTTTCTGTTTATTCAACGGCAAAGTCGCAAAAGGTACTCCGTATCGTAGGCGCTCCAGTTGTCTGACTATTGACGGTACATACTACTGACCCTGCGCGTTTCGACGCCGCGCCACTAGGTTACACAGCGAAAACGATCCGTATCGTTTTGCCGATAACGAAAAAGAACGACAACGAATTTAACTCGTAGAATTAACCTTTGTAATAGCATCAAGAGACTAATTGTTCGTTTCGCTGCATTAGCTACGCTAATAACTTCGACGGCAACCAATAGCGGTAGTAACGATTTCAAAGGGATATGCACGGTTCGATACCGGTCGAAACAAACGGAAAGAAAAGCGAGGGAAAACAGTGAACTTTGGTCGATCAGCTGCAAACCGAAAACTCGACAATTAGCGAACCACGAGGAGAAAGAGCCTCGTTGGCGCGTTCCAAAAGGCGTCGAGAAGAGCAAGGGTGGCCGGAAGATCGTGTGAACGGGAGCATCGTAACAAAAGGGAGACAGAGCCACGGTTTCCGGCCAGGTCGTGGCAACAAAGACAAATT